CTCATGCATCAAAACATTTCTTATTAAGAATTAACAGAGGTTTAGATGTTAATGTTTATTGAAAAGAATACAATTTGAAGACACCGTTGTGGAGATAAGCGTTTGCTTTAGTTGGGCTCTTGACCCTTGACTTTCTAACATTAGTTTTTCTCTGGTTGCTGTAACTGTGTTTATGAAACCACCAAGAGAAAATGTGATCAGGTTATATTGGCTGTTTTTTTTTAATACTGTTGTAGTTGTTATGCTTCCACTCTAAAAAATGCTGGGTTAAAAAGGGACAAACCCTGCTATTGGGTTGTTTTGTACGGTGATGCATTGCTGCCACACACATTTTTTCACTCAGTTATGTCGTAATAATGACATCTTTTCTCGTAATAACGAGATGTTTTCTCGTTAAAACAAGATCTTTTCTCGTTTTAACGACATATTTTGTCATAAAAACGACATGTTTTCTCGTAATTATAGATAGGCTATATGGTACATTATGTGAGCGAGCTAAGCGACTGTCCGCGCTGCTGTCGCCACAGTCTGACATAAACGAGGATCTGCACGCTGCTGAAATTATTGAAATACACTGTTTTAAATGTATTTTAATGTAATGGTTTTAATTGTAGCGGCATGTTTATTAGGATTAATCTCCAATCTGTCTACAATATAGTGCTATCCAATAACTGTTGTTGTTGTTGTTGTTGTTGTTGTTATTATTATTAGCCTATTAGAAAATCTCTTCATTTCTTTTTTTTTCGTATTTCGATTTGTTGTTAAATCAAACTTCAGTCATTCAAATAAAGAAATATTAAGCCCAGAGTCGATTATTCAAAAATGACTGTTTTGATCTGATCATAGCCTAAACGAGTCATGGGTCTGAGTACAGTTATTGGATAGCACTATATTGTAGACAGATTGGAGATTAATCCTAATAAACATGCCGCTACAATTAAAACCATTACATTAAAATACATTTAAAACAGTGTATTTCAGTAATTTCAGCAGCGTGCAGATCCTCGTTTATGTCAGACTGTGGCGACAGCAGCGCGGACAGTCGCTTAGCTCGCTCACATAATGTACCATATAGCCTATCTATAATTACGAGAAAACGTGTCGTTTTTATGACAAAATATGACGTTATTACGAGAAAAAAATATGTCGTTTTAACATGTGTGTGGCAGCAATGCGTCACCGTAGTTTTGAACCCATGGGTTGGTTATATTTAACCCAGCAGACACACTCTCTAGAGCTCCACTCAACGAACACCTGTCTGAAGCAGACCTAAAAAGAGAGGAAGAGGTCAAATTGATCATGCCATTCAACAATTGCCAGCAGTGCCTACCAAGCTTGCTCAAATAAAGAGGGCTCAGGAAGAGGATGAAGTGTGCAGACAGGTAGGTTCTCTTGTGCGCACAGCGTGGGAATGAAAAACAGTATTTCAAAACACTTAGCATCGTTTTGTCAACAGAGACATGACCTGGTCATCACAGAGGGCTTGCTGATGAAAGGAAACAGATGAACATAAAAACCATGAGACTGTATCAACTGCAGCAGAGAGGACAGAGAAAGAGGTATGAACTGAAACGACACATTGATGTATTAATGCTGACACTTCAAGTGTTTCTCTTCACTGCAGTATCCAGCTGTATCATGAGTGCATCATGTGAACTTCTCTCCCATTGAGAGTTACTACATGACGGCTCTGTGCATTAAGAGCATGAGCTGAACTTTACTCGCATTTGTCACATCGCTCAAGATTTCTACTATAACTGTACATGCATCAGTTATTGTTTTTGCTGCAAATTGCACTGTTTGATTGTCCATTTCTTCACATTAACTCTTGATTGCAGAATAATCGACAATAAACTTATATGCCCTCCTTCATATGTGAGGACTTCATGGAAACTAAATTCAATGAATGATCTTAAAACTCTGAGAAACACTGTGAAGAATTTTTTTAATCAAACAGCCAACATTTGACATGATTTTGTGATATCTTTGTGTAACATGTGAGATTTGCTGTTTTTAATTTCTCCTCCAGAAACTTTAATTTCATCTACAGAAAGATCTTGAGCAGCTGAGAGAGGCTGTGGAGTCTCATAAGGTGAGTTTGGAGAAGAAGAGAAGTTTGAGACTCAGTTTGACTCTCCTCTTTCAGTCCCACTGAAGCCACTGTGAGGAAGCAGTAAGAGCTGATTGTGATGTGTGTCTAACAGCGCTCTGCACAGACAGCAGTGGAGGACAGTGAGAGGATCTTTACTGAGCTCATCCGCTCCATTGAGAGAAGCCGCTCTGAGGTGACACAGCGGATCAGAGATCAGGAAAAGACTGCAGTGAGTCGAGCTGAAGGACAAATGGAGCGACTGGAGCAGGAGATTGAAGATCTGAAGAAGAGAAACTCTGAGCTGGAGCAGCTTTCACACACAGACGATCACATACATTTCCTGCAGGTAAAGGCTGGAATGCACTACACAACTTTAAAACATAAACAGATTTGGAAACACTTGCAGAAAGAAAATGATCGTCATACACTAAATGACTTTCAAGTCATTGCGAACACAACAAACTCATGCAGAAACACGTACCATGTTGTTAGGTGACGTGTGACAAATAAAAACTATGTGTTCTAAAATCTGCATATTTTGATATCGACTTCATAGAAATCATAGTCTGAAGCTTAAAAACTGGATTCATCACAGACAATGTGATTTTCTGTGAAATCTGTCAACTCTGAGTGCCCAAAATCTGCAGACTGGCTCTGATTTTTTAGCAGCTAGCATCAACTCCTCCAGATTGCAATCAGGAAATATCTAGGCAAAAGTATAATGTATAGTGTTTTCCAGCCTTAAGCGTCAGTCTGCTGATGGGAATGTTGCTCAGAATGTTATCTGGTGATGGTGGGGGTTTTATCATGAAAAACTGGTTTCACTTGGGAGCACTGCATCAGTGAGGTGACCTGATGAAACATACTAATAATAGAGACCATTATCTATAGACAATAATCAGGTTAGAGGCTATATTGAATTTAACACAGATGAAATCAAGGCTGTGAGAGATAGACTTACAGCCTTTACAACAGTAACATTTTTGGATTGTATTGTACTTCAACAACAGTAGTACAGTACATTAAATGCACTGTACTTTTATCACTCACAGCCTTGTTTTCATTCCTGTCAAAAATTAAATATGGCAGTATCCTGAGTAAGGTCTATTATATCTGAGCATCTGTATTGATCGAAGATTATCGTTAAAGTCATAGACCTGTAAATTAAGCATCTGTAGCATCAATGTGAATATATTATGTTGGGAAGAAGTACAACAAACACTTTTATGTGAAGAAAAGGGTATTTTTACATTATATTCAGGTCACGTTTCGAACTTCAAATAAAAGACACAACTTAATTAAACATCTCTTATGTATTATATATCTTTGCAGATCTTTTTCTGGTTTATTATTTGTGTTTCTGCAGAGTCTTCAGTCTCTCTCAGCTCCTCCTGAATCTACAGAAAACATCTCTGTCAGTTTCCTCTTTTCTTTTGATGGTGTGAGAGAATCTGTCTGTCAGCTGAGACACAAACTGGAGGATTTCTGCAAAGAGGAGATGAAAAAGATATCTGGTAAAATATTAGATTCATCTGCTCTCTGTAATGAGACAAACATCATCTAATATCATAAAGAAAATGTTAGAAATGTCTAAGGAATAGATACAGGTATCATTTTCTCTCTGAGTGTTTATATCTGCTATTTTCACAGTCACTCACAGTAACATTGTTCCCAGGACCAGAGAGGACTTCCTACAATGTAAGCCACTAACAAACACAATGACACACACTAAGATACTTTAACTAGAAAGTTTAGTTTGAAGTGACAGAACTGATAGAAAATATTATTTATAATTCATTATGAATCATGTGCAGTGTAGGCAAAAATAATCCAGTTTACATTGAATTATTAATTACTTCTTTAAATTTGTAGTCAGATTACTTTATTGATAATTTTTAATAGTAGTTTAATAATTAATACTCGTTTAATTTTAAGGTACTTTCTTAAAACCACAACCCAGTCTCATAAAAATAGCTACCTCTGGGTACTTTTCTGCAACACCGTTTTTACGTACCTTACTGCACGTTTCGCCGCAGTTTCAAAGAGAAATGTCCACTGAGTGGCGCTAAAACACGGGTTCAATACGTGAACCCTGGCACGTTTTTATTACGTGATATAGGTATGTATTGCTGGGTTTTTATTACGCTGCTTCAGGTACGTATTGCGGCGGTTCATAATTCAAATATCCGGGGACTGTCGCTAAAAGTTAATGCTCTAGCGTGTTGGAAACATGCCCTACACCAAACCGAACCCTAAACCTACCCGATAGTGTTAACAAATGCAAAACTGATATAAAAACACATTTGTTGATGCAACCGTGTCATTTGAACTTATATGTATATTTGAACCGTTTTGTCGAACCGGAGCTCCTCGCCTCTCAAGTACGTCTCCATACTCTGTGGGCTACCGAACAAACCTACCGTCGCTGAAAACCCATTGATATGAAGCTGGATATGTGCGGTGCTAACGTTCAAAAGCATCAGTTTTCAAATCTCCCAGCATATTAAAATTGTTTTGAAGTCATAACATGATATTCTTCAAGTAATTGTGCGAAAATTACGCTTTATTAATCGAAACTCTGTAAATGTGTGTGAAAAGGAATAAAGGTGTCGGAGTTTTACTCCTACTTCTACTGTGTTCATTTCTTCTGGAAACTGCAGTGATATGTACTTATTGGTACTATTTCGCGTCTCGCGAAAATGTGCCCCCGGGTACGTTTTTGCCATGAGACCAGGTTGTAAAACCACTATGAACCAACATACAAATACATAATGTGATACCCAATAGTTAATTAATACTTTAATACTGGCTGATCGCCATAGCAACAATAAAACAAAAAACCCATTGATATGAAGCTGGATATGTGCGATGCTAACGTTCAAAAGCATCAGTTTTCAAATCTCCCAGCATATTAATATTGTTTTGAAGTCATTACATGATATTCTTCAAGTAATTGTGCGAAAATTACGCTTTATTAATCGAAACTCTGTAAATGTGTGTGAAAAGGAATAAAGGTGTCGGAGTTTTACTCCTACTTCTACTGTGTTCATTTCTTCTGGAAACTGCAGTGATATGTACTTATTGGTACTATTTCGCGTCTCGCGAAAATGTGCCCCCGGGTACGTTTTTGCCATGAGACCAGGTTGTAAAACCACTATGAACCAACATACAAATACATAATGTGATACCCAATAGTTAATTAATACTTTAATACTGGCTGATCGCCATAGCAACAATAAAACAACAAATCCAATATATTTCTAAAAATGCAAACTGATGTGTTTGTCTGTTCTGTCCAAATATCTACAGCTTTCTGTGCTTGTGTGTGAATCGTAGGCCTACACGTGAATGTGTTTGTATTTGTGTTTATGTAAAAAAGAATAAATAAATAAAATAAACAAGCAAACACAAAAACAAACAGAATTAATCCATTTTCGATTTTTTTTTTTAATCTGAACAAAGAGCTTTTACAGTTCAGCACAAAAAGATAAAAAGGGATTGTGTCTTAAATTTTAAAGAAAGTTGAGATAGACGAAAGTAAGTTAAGAAACAGAAATCATAGAACTATGCAAACTTTTAGTGTGAGAATAATAGTTTATGACATATCAAGCGAATGCATGAACATCATGCTGCAGATCTGAAAGAGCAAAATAATCTTAAAAGTTTAACTTTTACAACTCCTGATTACAGGGTTTTTTTTTCATCAGATTCCCATCAGTTCACTCTGGATCCAAACACTGCACATGAACGTCTCCGTCTGTCTGAAGGGAACAGAGCGGTGACTTACACTGACGCACCTCAGCCATATCCTGATCATCCAGACAGATTAGCAGGAAGAGATCTGGTTATGAGCGTCTGTTTGGATATAATGATCAGTCCTGGAGTTTGTGCTGCTCTCCCTCCAGTTTCTCATTCCTGCACAATAAGAATCAGACTGAACTCCCTGTTCCCTCCAGCTCCTGGAGAATAGGAGTGTATGTGGATCACAGTGCAGGAACTCTGTCCTTCTACAGCGTCTCTGACACAATGAACCCCATCCACACAGTCCAGACCACATTCACTCAGCCGCTCTATCCTGGGTTTAATATTTATGGATCAGTCAAACTCTCTGATCTGACAACATAAATACAGACTGGGATTCTCTGTCAATATTGGGTCACAGTTTGATTCACAAAATGAGAGCAGAGGGTCTAATTACACACAGTATCGTTATTAACACACAGCAAAAAACACTCAGCAACACCAAGAATACTCTGGTGAGCAGAAAACCAAACCACATACAGACAAAAAAATAAAAAGAAAAGAAAGAAATTAAACATGAGAATTTAAATATTCAAGACAATGAGAGATAAAACAAGGCACAGGTTGGACTGATCAGTCGACTGATAAGAAACAATAGCAACCAAAAACACAGAGACTAAGCACAGGACAAAAAACTAAACTCAAATGAACCAAAACAGACAATAACTGTGTCTCAATTCAGATGCTGTATCCTTCGAAGGCTTCATCTGAAGACCGACTGCATCACAGCAGCAGGAATTAAATTCGGGTCGCTGTGAGCGCAGATGCACTGCATGTCGCCGCACTAACCACAAGACTATTGGCGCCGACACCATAGGATTTTTTAACAGAAAATTCAGATTTAAACTTACAAAAGTAAGTGCTGGGTTTCAACCTAATTGAACATTTAATGCTACAAAAACACTTATATGTTGATATCTTACTAAAATATCTAATGTAGTTTATTATGTACATAAATAGATCAAGGTGCACATATTTAGACAGGTTGTGTTGTTTTCCGACTGTTGAATATCACTTTTTTAAAAGTCCAGTACAAACATTACTGTCACTCATCAACGGCAGCTGTCACACTTGCTAGACGACAAGAGTGATCCTCCGTATGTCAGACTGTCCCATTTAACAACTCTTGTGGCCTTTGAAAAACTGTTTTCAGGATGCAGCACCTGAATTGGGAAACAGCAAATATGACAATGTTGTTGATCACATCTTTGATATACTACACTTGATATAGTATATCAAGGTAATAACTGACTTTAAAAGATTGTATAAATAGTTTCATACTATAACTGATGTGACCAACCAGAAGAAAACTTTAAGCAACAGCTGCCAGAAGAATGGCAACGGCGTTCTTTTGACTTTTATTTAACTTGAACTGCTACTCTATGATGTACTGTAAGCGTCTTCTACAGGAGAATAGCTGATTTGCCGTAGTAAGTAAATGTTGTTTTATAGCTTGTGGCTTTGTAACTGTATCTGTTTATCATTTAATGCTAAAAGCAACTTTTCTCCTGCTTTTTTGATGACATTATTTTTGTACTTTGTCAAATGACTAAATTATCTGTTACGCCATCCTCTTTACTGTTGCTAAGTGATTTTTATGTTCTTTGGCTTTGGCAGTTTACACTTTATACTTCCTGCTGGTGTTGCTGTTCAATAAACTGAACAACTGTCCAGCGAGGGATGCTTAGTGTAGAAAGTGGAAGAAAAAAGGTCACTTCGCAACAGTTTACAAAACAAAGAAAAGAATGGATGAAATATATCAGCGTGATGAAACGGAGAGCATAGAGACTGTGTTCTTGGGAGTTGTAAAGTCAGAGAACTCGACTGATGTCTGGCAAAAGCCCATCGCAGTGAACGCTGAACAAATTATTTTCAAGCGTGACACTGGAGCTGCGGTAACAGCCATACTTGTACTCAAAGAGGAGCCACGGTGTTCTCAGCCAGCCTACGAAAAAGCTGTGTGGCCCTAGCAACACACCAATACAGCTGAGAGGGCAGTTTGAAGCATCACTTCATCATCAGGGAAAAATAATAAAACACCCAGTGTTCATGATACCAAGACTCGTGACCCCTCTCCTTGGACTACCTGCCATAAAAGAGCTAAAATTTCTGCACACAGTGAATATAATTCAGACATCAGAACCAAATTACAAAGACCTTTTCAGAAAAGTCTTCACAGGTCTTGGAATACTAGAAGGAGCTTACAAAATCACCTGAAAGGTTCAACCACTGCATTTGCTCTGTTTGTCCCCCGTGGAGTGCCCTTGCCCATGATGAACAAAGTCAAAGAGGAGCTAAAAAGAATGGAAGACCTGGGAGTCAAAGCGCCCATCGAAGAAGTGACAGAGTGGTGCTCAGGTATGTTATAGTACCAAATCCAAATGGCAAAATCCGAATCTGTGTTGATTTAACACATCTGAATAACAATATCTGCAGAGAGAGACACATTCTTCCAGCAGTGGATAAAACACTGGCTAATCTGTTAGGTGCAACAGTTTTCTCTAAGCTGGATGCTACTGCTGGATTCTGGCAGATTCCCTTGCATAAAGATTTGGTCCCACTCACTACCTTCATTATGCCTTATGGAAGATACGGTTTTCACCGCCTTCCATTTGGTATTTCATCAGCAGCGAAATACTTTCAGAAGCGCTAAAACACAGATGCTCGAGGGCCTGGAAGGTATTCTGTGCCACGCAGATGACATTCTGGTGTTCAGTGCTACATGCAAAGAACAAGATGCAAGACTTGTCAAAGTACTTAACCGCCTAGAACAGAAAGGTTTGACACTGAACGAGAAATGTCAATTTGCAGTGTCTCAAGTTAGGTTCTTAGGACATATCGTCAGTGCAGAGGGCATATGAGCTGACCCAGACAAAATTAAAGCTATAAAAGAGATGCCAGAGCCTAAAAATACTGCTGATGTCAAGAGATTCCTCTGCATAGTGAATTACATTGGAAAATGTTCACCCAACATCTGAAATTCTCAATAGCTACAGAGAAAGATCTCCCCTTAAGATAGGATGTGAACCAGTTTAATGCTGTTCCCCTAATTCCAACATACTCAGTCGTCTCAATAAAATAGAATGGTCGATAGTGTCAAAAGCCGAGCTTAGATCCAGAAGGACCAAAACCCCACATTTCCCAGAGTCGACAGCTATTAGCAAATCGTTTAACACTTTCAAAAGAGCAGTTTCTGTACTATACTGAGCTCCGAACCCAGACTGAAATTTGTCCAGTATATCACTATTCTTTAAGAAGGAGGAAAGCTGATGAAAAACAACCTTCTCCAATACCTTTAAAATGAAAGGAAGTTTTGATATAGGCTGGCAATTGGCTAGGACCTGTGGATCAAGGGTAGGCTTTTTAAGTACAGGGTGTATCACTGCATGTTTAAAACAGGATGGAACATGACCATTATTAAGACTACTATTAATAATAAACTGAATACATGGACCAATGGTATCTAACACTTCCATAGTTAAAAATGTGGGAATAGGATCCAGAGAGCAGGATACAGGTGTAGAAACCATTGTTTAGTTGCAGCAGATACCAATCAAACAAAGAGCCAAACATGAGGGCATTGCAGTATGTTTGTCTTTTACTCTCCCCCTTCTACTCCAGTCTCTCACATTTACATACATTCGCATACCGCCATCTAGTGGCTATACATATTCAATTCCTATCACAACATCCCCCTCTTTTTCTTGTAAACAATTTCTCTACCACTATTCATAAAGCATCAAACCATCAAACATACATATGATACAAATCTCTTCTT